TCTCGACAATCGCATCATAACGTCGAATAGTGTTATCATTCGATACGACTTCATTCTTTTCAAGGATTTCCTCAAGCTTTAAAAAGCCATAAAAATCCTACAAAAAAAAACCCTTATAAAACAACTCCTTCATGCCATAAAGCGAAAAAAAAAACAAAACGACCAAAGTAACCAATAACTTCCATTCAAAGCTATAATCCTTAGCAATATCATAGCTTACCCCCTCAACCACTAACAACTTCGAAGTTTCAAGAATGCTTACGACAACAACCGCGCGCTTTAACAAAGAACGTCGGGCGTGGTGCTTGTAATTATCAATAATCAATATTATTTATATTTCATTTCGATTGAATTTTATAGTTTATATTTCCAAAAAAATATTATATTTTCAAATTCATATATGCAAACCGAATCATGTATAATATTTAAAGTCCTAAACATTATTCATTACTATTCTTTTTGCTTCTTGATCGGATTCAAATTCAAGCAAATGTGGCCCACCTCAACAAGCAAAGTCTTCGTCGATCCGTTTTCTCAGCCGTAAAGGGTTTAACTGTCACTTATGCCAAGTTGATGATGCAAACTCAATTATCTTCGTTCCGTCGATCCCCTCCTTCAATTATTTCCAAATTGTTTCTCCTCAAGAATTACACTTTCACCTTTGTGCATTTTAAGGGTTTCATTTGTCGAGTAAATTGGGGGGCAACATGGTCGTATTAGCAAAGTGTTCCACAGTCTAGAGACCCACTCCAGGAAAGCCAATGCCCTCCAACCCAGTAGCGATGGCAGCGCCTCCCACCTAATAGGAATGGCCTTCAATCTAATAGCAATGCGTCCAACCTAATAGCAACGGCCTCCATCGCCTCCTGATAAATGCTAGGACTTGTGAATTGAATCTGTCGATCGTTTTTCATGGCAATTCCTTTGCCCACACGCACGCAAGGCTCGCACAGCTTTCTACATGGCTTGCTTAGGGCATCGGCATCCAAATACGGGAGCCGCGTGTTGTGGCACCCCAGCGGTTAGCATCATCCTGCGCGGTTCAAGTCCGACGACTTGTCGCTCATTTCTTCGCTGGCTTCTTCTGGTAATGAGAACCTGAGGCAGTGGGATCTTGGCAATCCCGGATTTGGGCTTGACGCTGCCAAGTTTTTTTTACTTTGACAAAACCCATCAAGTTCTATAACACCGTTGTCCAATTCTATCCTCTTAGAGTGAGTGGACCATCGACCAGCAACGTTGGTTCGAACGCAGCAGGGAATATCTAGGGGTGAAAAACCGTTTTTACGATCGGATCAAAACGGATGGCCCCAGTGCCCCGAGTGGCCGATCTCAGGATTGGCCAGCATGGTGTGCTCCTTGCCCACGGCGTAAATGGCTTGTGGCGGCTTCTGCTCCTCGCGTCAATCATGACCGGTGTGATGAACTCTCGTTCAATGAACTACTGTTTCTGTCGCTTCAAGATCGCAACTGAGACTTTTCTTGCAAGATGCAAGATCCGTGGTCATGACCACCTTTGAACAAAAGCGACCAAATGGATCGAAGATGGAACCAACGGCTTCATTTCACTCACTTGCGTAACCCGCCAAATCCATCCTCTGGGGCGGAATGGTTGAGCTGTTACACTCCCAGTGTCGCCCTTGAGGGGTCGAACTAAACAGTGTCGTCCTTCATTCTTCAACCGTTCGTTTCCAGGTCATCTTGCATCGGAGTTTCGGAGCGTCGAGTAGTCAACAAGGTCGCTTACTCAAAGGTAAGGGCGGATCTTATGACGGGGAGAACGTAGATGTGTCTTATTTCAACTAAAGCCCCAAGGGTCTCTGCTTACCAAATGAAGACAAGAAGCTTTAATAAATTCCCAATGTCCTCACATCATTGAGGCTATTAGGTTGGAGACCATCGGCCATCGCTTCTAGGGAGGCCATCGAGCTAGCTTAAAAGAAAGGGCACAGTTCGAAAAAGGACTTGCCGCGCGCTCGCGTCGCGGGGGCGGGGCTCCAGGATGAACTTTGAGCGAAGGCAGTGCACCTCACGAAGTCCAGGGCGGAGCGAGAAGGCGATTGAAGATCTGGGGCGCACACGAACGAACCACATAGCAAAGAGTTTCGTGATAACAACCTGACCCATCCATCCACTTGTATGGATAAAATATGCATAGTAACAAGGACGCTATTAGGTGGATGGAGGCCATCGTAAGTAGGTTGGAGGCCATCGCTACTAGTAGCAAGAAGCTAGTAGCAAGGGATCTCTTAGAACAGAAATGAAGACCTCGATTGCGATGACCTGAAATCGGTCGTCGTCGCACCAAAAATCCTTCATCTGTGAAGTGGATTTCTTCCGCCAGGTCCTTCGTAGAACCCCTCCAAATACACTCAATGGCAAGCACCCAGAAATCGATGAAATGTTGTTGCCCATTGCTTCGTGGGCCTTGTGTTTGCGGTCAACCTGCCGCTGCTGAGTCACCAAGCCCTTCCTTCCTTCGCTTTCCGCTTTCGCCAAGCCACCGGGTTGGTGGAGAAATGCGTTGCCGGGATTCGCTTCGCGCAGGTCCTGCAGTCCATGCCCATTCGGACGGTGACGGTGTCTTTGGAATCTCAAGAAGCGAACCCGTGGTAGTTGCTCCTCAAACACCGTAATATCCATAATAACAGCATGTCAAACCCTGTCACCCAGAGCTGAACCCAGGGTAAGTTTACCAAAAAATCTAGAAACCAAATCATTAGTCACGCTGTCCTGCATCCAGTTGCCAAAAGCTAACTAGTCGCCCTGAGCTCAGTCCCTTACTTCATCAAGTAAGGGCGGGCTCAAAAAGAACAATAACAAGAACATAGCAAACTCTTGGGGATCATTTGCCGCTGGTTTTTTGGTTTTGGCCGCCCCTGCCCAGTTTGCGCCAAGTCTCTCATACTTCTCAGTGCTTTCATCGCCCTCTTCATCCTCAGACCGTGCCAAATTGGGTTGAGAATCGGAACGTAGCGGAACGAAACCGGTCTGGCGACTCAAATGAAAGCCTGATCAGCAGTCAGAAAAAATTGTGCTTGCTTGCTGGCCTGCCGGCTGGCTTGTTGGGCCTGCTTCCTTCACAATCTGTCAGTCCTGAAGACTCAACATTCTGCAAGACATGTCCCGAGAAACTGGGTACCCATGGGAACCCCAAAGCAATCACTTACTACTGGATCTAGGAGAGAGCATCTCCTTTCCCTAAAGGATAAGGAGGGCGGCCTTGATCCTTTAAGGTGCTTCGATGACAGAACATTTGAGAAAGCTCAACTCCAAATCCAGGAGACTCCCAAAGGATAGGTTGCTACACGTCGAAAAGAAAGGATGGAACTTCCAAGTCCAGTTGCTTGTATACCAAGCACAGAGTTCCGCTTCAGAGTTGAGACGAGTTTCCAAATGAATGCCGGCGTTACTAGTAGCTTCTTGTTACTAGTAGTGCGGCCAGGAGCTCTAGTAGCGTCCTTGCTCCTAGTAGTAGCCAGTAGCTTCTTGTTTCCAGTAAAGAATTGGGTTCAAACTAGATTCAAAGCCACCCATAACCAACTTCGCCGTGGGGTACAGCTGCCATCTGGAGTTCAGCAGGAATTGTACCATGGTATTCGACACAATGTAATTCTGGATTGAAGCTCCAGTCCAACCATATGGTAGAAATTTGGAGTTGAGCTGTTCCAACTCTAATTTCTCAATCTCCATGGGCACGTCACACCGCAAATAGCACTGCTTTCCCTTGCCAATCCCCCTGGGAATTGTAAACTGTAGGTGGCCAGTTCACAATCCCAAGCAAATATGCCCGTCTGCCGTTGCAGCTGAGGAACTTCAAACCTCTTGTTGATGAAGTCCAACATGCAGCAGTGCGCAATCAAATGCAGTACCTCAAAAGCTGATCTGATGACAATGCCAACAAATCTGTTGTTGGAAAAACTAAGCACAGGCCCTGCACCATTAAGTTTCCCTAAAAAATCATTAGTGCGAGCACTTCTTTAAGGAAGTTCACCCCCCCGCCCTCAGGCGCGGGAACCAGCTATCCTGCATCCTGCGTCCAGTTACTAGAAGCTAACTAGTCGCCCTGAGCTCAGTCCCAAGTAGGCACCTACCTAATTAAGTAGGGGCGGGCTACAAGAAAAGAATCCGGGAAAAACCGTGGCTCTGCCATCGGAGGGTGAATGGGTTGTGCGCGGCGATTCGAGTGACGTCGTTTGATTCATCGCTGCGATTCATCTAGCAATTAGTAACATATGTTACTAGTAGCTTCTTATTACTAGTAGTGACGGCCTCCAACCTACTAGCAATGGCCTCCAACCTAGTAGCTTCTTGTGACTAGTGGTGATGCACTTGTTACTAGGCGGGTTGTTCCGCCTTTGGCACCTCGGAGTTCGGATCAGTCTCAGCCGATCCATCTCGATCCTTCAGTGCCTAGTGCCAGGTTTCGTGAGGATGCTGCACGCAACGGACGGTGAGTCTGATCAATCTGCTTTAAATCCGGTGACTTTGGTGTAAGGCCTGGGAGCAGAAAGGACATGTGACCTGGTTGAGGAACTTGAAGCACATGGCAGCAATTTGCAGGAGATAATCCATTTTGAACCGTACACCTGGCCACAAAGGTGGTTGCAAAAGCTAGCATGACTCGTCATGCTTCACAGAGGCGGTCGGAGCAGCTAGCAAGCTGCTCATGAGGCTTACATCTCAACAGCATATATCTCTGCGCGGCATCCTAAGGAATTGTGCCCTGCCTTACGACTTGGGAGATTTCTGCTGAACAAATTGGCCCACCGACCTTGACATCAATACTGTCAAAATGAAACGGCCCTTTTCCGAGAAACTTTCAGCTTTTCTATGCCTTTCTTGACCTTTTGAAATAGCCTTCCATTGCGTCTCGTAGACGGATACATTTCCCCAATAGCCATGCTATGCGGTCTTGCAAAACTAATAGGCGGACGGGCGCCGTCGGGTCACCGTCAGAGCTGGTGGGCGGATGGTGTCCCGGTCATGTTTCGATGGTGTCCCGGTCGTGTTGTGAC